GGGGGGGGAGGCAAAGCAGTGATGTGATGGAAAAGCCGCTTCATCATATTTAATTGGAACTACTAGACCAAGCTTACTCAGAGCAGAGCTGTTGTCAGCACAGCTGGTTCATTTGGGCTGCTCCACTTACTGGGTGGGATATCTTCTTTCTTTTCCATCTCTTCCCCCTCTCTAGGTTGGCTGCATTATAATGCATCAGTTTAATTGTATATTTTTTCTTTGAGGCTGAAAGTTGAAGATGGCAGAGCCTGAAAGCACAGTCATAAACACCGATGTGAAACAGGTAAAAGGTTATTCATTACAAAAGACAGGCCCTGTATTTCTAAAGCAAATTTTGAAAGGCCACTGCGGGAAAGAACACACCACAATCCGGAGCTGTGGTGGCCTGAATTGCCTGTGCCAAGGTTCCAGCAGAAGTGGCCTGTCCCAGGGCTGCTGGGCACCTGGTCCCAGTGAGGTCCATGTGATTTCCACATGGGAAGAAGTTGTGGGACTGAACCTCCAGTTACATGGGCAGGATGGGTGCATTTGCTCACACTAAAATTTTGGAGCAGCCAGGGAGAAAGCAGCAGCTTCTATACATTTAGAGAGACTTTATTAGACTCTCCAGAACAGACACAAACAGAGGGTAAAACCACCAGTACACGCAGGGAAACCCAGCAGCGCCCAGCTCGGCACAAACAGGTGACCATGGCTGTGCTGTGTCTACAAACACCAGAATTATGAAGCAATCCCCTTTGGTGTGAGACATCCTCGGAGCATGTGGCACTTACCAAACAGGTTAGGGTTTCACAACTGCCTGCCCCATCCTTGGTGGCCTGAAGATGAAGGTTGGGCTTGGTACCTCTTCTCCAAAGGCCCTCTGGTATCAGGAACTGGGACGCATGGGTGACTCTTCCAACGCCCAACCCCACTACCCTGGTCGGTAGAGCCCTGTATCCCTCTGCTTACCCCACCTCCAAACTCCTTTGCTGTCTGCCATCCCCTTTCCTCCCTGTCCTGCAGAAAGACCCCAGTGAGGCACTAGTCATTGCAGTGACCACCAGAGCTATCTTCAACCTGGAGGAGGAGCACAAGCTCTACCTGGAGAAGGGCAAGGAGGCGTATGCCAGGCACCAGCAGGCCAACCACGACAAGCCGTTGCCACCAGGCACAGCCTTTGCCTTCGTCCAGGTGAGCCCGACGCCTGGCCAGGGGCACACGCGGACACTTGCAGGATGGGGTGAAAGTTCAGCTTTCCTAGTTTTAGGTCTCAACTCTCATCACGGCTTGCAGATATCCCTGTCCTGGCCTCTTGGCCTCGTTGCAGGGCATCGAGACCTGTGCTCCTCATCAATCCTACACGTCCACCTCCCCCCTGGTGGGGTATCCTGTGCCCTGCTCTCCTGGCAATGGCCTTTGCAGGATGATTGCTCCGTCTGCCTCTCAGTAATATGCTAGCCTTGCCATAGCTGACAGATGCAGCACAAACCACTAACCTTAACTGCAAAAGAACCCTGGCAAAGCCATCGCAGTCATGCCCTTCCAAAAGAGTCTCATCTTCTCCTCGCAGGTGGCGCAGTATGTGAACGAGAAGATCCTGGAGAGCAACCCGGCAGAGAAGGACCTCTTTGACATCCTGGTCCTTTCCAACAACAGCCCGGAGAGCGGTGTGCGCATCATCAATAGCGCCAAGCACTACGGTAAAGGGGACCCCAGCCCAGGGGTGTCTGCTTCCCCTGGGAGGCTGCGAAGCAGATAAGGCACCACAGTGGAGCATCAGTGGCAAACATAGACCCAGGGGACAGAAGGGGAAGGGGTTATTTTGGAAACACGCCCAATTCCTGTCAACCCCACGCAGCTTGCCTAGGGTGCCAGAGCACACCCAGGGTACAGGCTCCCTGGCAGAGCCCAGCTCCCTTCGGCCACATCCTTTGTGGCTGGGGGCCTGGCAGCATTTTGCACAGCCTGGACATCCCCAGGCAGCTACTAAAGAAACAGAGTTCTTAACAAACAAACAAAAAAACCCTGCCAAAAAAAACCTAAATTCCAGAGTGCTGTCAGGAAGGCTCGTTTAGGGAGGGATGAAGGAAATATTTAACTGCACTCTTCAGTTTTGTAGGAGCGATCAGGTGAGTAGATGCAGCAAGAACAGGGGCAGGTTCCTCGTGCAGCACTGGGAAATTAATTGCCCTGAGCACTTCAGCAAAGCACACCAAGACCGCGGGAGGGGAGAGGGGGGCTTCAAGGAGGATGTTGCCCCATAACAGACTTTGCTCACATCCCCTGACCTGAAGCCCTGGAGATCTCCAAGTTCTGCTTCGTCAGCGACGAGGACTCCACACAGTACCTGAAGTCGCACGGCGTCAAGCTCTTCCTCTCGGCTGACAGGACAGATGTCTGCAACGCCCTGCGCAGAGGTGTGTTCTCCCCTCCATCCCACATCCCCAAACCCACCACACTTTTCCCAAGCAGCCCAGTACCAAGAGGCAATGCCAGAGCCTGTGCTTTCGCAAGGGCAAGGGATGAATGGCACATTGATTACCAGTAGTCCTGAACAGTTCAGTCTCCTCTTCTGTCCCCACCAGTAGCCTGCAAACACACCAGGCTTTCTCAGATGCCTTCACACGTCACCGAGTGCTTTATGCATAATTCTGGCTGTAGCTGTGCCACGGGCTGGTTATTCCCTGCCTGACATTTAAGCCTTTCTAACCAAATGCTGCGCGTTGGTGCTCCCTGGATCAGTGAGAGCACATTGGCTCTTCCCAGGGCTTTGTGAGGATGCTGTAGAAATTTGCTTTCTTGGTACATGCAGAGTTACCATGTGCTCAGTGATAGATGTAAGCACATGCTTGACCTAGATCGGAGGGAGAGCAGTCTCCCCAACAGCTCTAATGGGGTTAATCGCCTCCTTATTAATTTGCTTGCGTATGAGCACATCAGCTGGCCAAGGTCCTTCGAGGTCAGGAGCAAGCTATCTGCAGCCTGGGCTTTCCTTCGCTACACAGCACATTCCTGGAGCCTCCTTGAAGAGCATCATTGCTCTGACAAGTGTCTCCCATCTGGGGGCCTTGGTCCACAGATGAGGGCGGCCAGGGAGCAGCCTGCAGAAAGAGTCATATAATTAAGCCAATTACCCCAATCAAATGGAGGTGCCAGCCCCTATTACTCACAGCACGGAGTGCTAAATCTGGGCATTAAAGCCAGGCTTGGCAGGGTGAGCGAGCGTCAGGAGGAGGGCTGCTCATGCCTACACAACCACCCATCATCTCTTAGCAGACCAAGTGCTAAGACCCTCCAGAGATCGGGCTCCAATCAGCAGCACATGCTTGTCCATCCCCATCGCGGTGGGGGGATAACACAGCCCTAGAAAGGCTGGGATGACCCCCACAGAAAGACATCTGGCTTGGAGACCCTGACGGCTGCAGTGTGGGATGGGGCTGCAGCAGATGTGCAGGGAGGACCTGCTCCCAGGAGGGGTGTCCCACCTGAGCCCCACCTTGCTCTGTCTTGCAGGGGTCTCGGCAGCGCTTGTCTTCCATCAGGAGGTGCAGGCCCCCAGCATCCCGCTCCGCGTGGCATTTGACGGGGATGCCGTGCTCTTCTCCGACGAGACAGACCAGGTCTTCCGGGAGCAGGGGCTGGAGGGGGCAGTGCAGTATGAGCGGGCAATGGAGGCCGTGCCAATGGGAGAGGTGAGCAAGACACCCCACTTTGACGGGCATCCACAGGCTCTGCACCCACCGTGAGCATCTCTCCTGCTAGGGCTTTGCCATGAGTAGCCAAAAAAGCACAAATCCTTACAGGTTCTCTTTGCGTACACCACTCAGTCCCTGGTGTGGGCCTGATCTGGAGTCCCACTGGAGGTGGATATGGCCCAACGTCTCCTATAATTGAGCATCAGCTCCCAAATATCCCGGATTGTAGTTGCCTCCACCTTTCGTAGGCTGGGACCTAACTTGCTGTGCAGCTCCCTGCAGGACTCAGACCCAGAGGCACTGCTCACTGAGGTGTACATTCCTGGTCAGTTTGGGATTGGGATGAGCAGCACAATGCTCACCTTCCTCCTGAGCACCCCAGTGAACAGCACAAGTCCCAGCACTGCCCAGTCCTGCACCCCACTGGCGTCCCTGTGCTCTGCAGAGCCCTGAGAGACCCTGGAAGAGGAACAGATGGCTTGTACAGGCAGAGTAGGTGCCGCCTTATTTTCCACCCACTCCCAAGTGTTGCTGTCCTTCCAGGGTCCCATGAAGGCTTTTGCCATGCACCTTGGGAAGATCCGCAAGATGTTCAGCCAGGAAAAATCCCCCATCCGCACCTACCTGGTGACTGCCCGTGGTGGCCGGGACATGGGCATCCGAGCCATCAAAACACTCCGGGAGTGGGGTCTGGCCATTGATGAGGCTTTCTTCATGGATGGGGCTCCCAAGGGCCCCATCCTTGCCCAGATCCAGCCCCACATTTTCTTTGATGATGGCCTTCATAACATCCAGGGGGCTCAAGATGTGGGCGTACCCTCTGCCTGGGTCCCTTCCTACTGCTGATGGGCTGCAGGCCAGCAGTCCTTCCTCCCACAGCACAGGGGACTGGGCCAGTTGAAGGCAAACCTTCTGGTGGAGAGGGATGTCTTTTCTAACCTGCAGCCAGCAAACCTCAGGGAAAGGGGGCAGGAGCATCGCATGAGAGCATGGACTACCAGGCAAGACTTGATGCTCATTTCTGCTCCTAATATGAGGTCTTTTAGGTCTTAGGGTAAAGCCAAAAGATGCAACTGCTCCAGAAAGGCAGGACACCCTTGCTGTGACACTGAAGACTATCAGCTACCTGCCCTGTAGGAGCTGGAGGCTTTTCTCTTTTGCAAAGAAATAAATGAAGCTATTACCCCACACATGAGCTAAAGGATGCATGAAACCAAGCACTAAAAATGCTGACTTTGGCTGTGCTCAGACAGTCTCCAAGATTTACTACCAGGACCTCTGCCCAAAGGAAGCCCTCAAGACCCTGCCTCACCAGACACACTCAGCTTGGTTTTCTGGGGAGGCTCAAGTGTTAGCAAGTCGTTCAGGCAGCTCCAGCCAGACTCAGCAGAGGAAGAAAGACTTCAAAGCCATAAAGAACCTACAAGCTTTATAGAAATGGGTGACCAGGTTGAAGAAAGCAAGCCCAAGCTGTACCTCTGTAGAAGGGAGTATAGCACAAGTCCCCTTTCCTTAGGCACAGAGGCTGCTCACAGAGTGCCATTAGGAGATCCAGACCTGCAGCAGGACACTGAAGCTGCAGGAGGTGGGCCAGAGACAAGACTGCACCCCAGGTCTGAGGTCTACCCAGGAGGCAGAGCTGCCATGTAGCTCCGATGTCCCTCCAGGAGAGGGCACTGGAGATGGGCCGCCAACAGCACAAGCCATGCAGGGGGCCAGGGCTGCAGACCAGCAGCACCCCATGGACCAGGGCAGGACTGGGTGCCCAGGCCTGAGCTTAACTGGGTCTCCAGGGCCGTGGGTGGGGGGTCCCAGATGCAGCTGCTCAGCGCGGGTGAGGTTCGTGGGTCTGCTCGGGACCCTGCCCGGCACCAAGCCACCCCCCATGCGGGGCTGCCTCTCCTCCAGCAGTTTTGACTCTACTCCTAGTTTTCCTGGGGAGCAAGCAGCCCCTCCGGATTTGCTTGCCGATTTCTTTCCCTAAAAAACTGTCCCTAGGCCTGGATGTGAGCAGTTGCCACTAGAGGCCACTGTGCTGCCTGGGGATGTGACACCCCAAATTCCTGGGAGCTCCCCAGAACCACCTTGTAAGAAAATACACGCTGACTGCCCAGGGCACTGCCTGCTGGGTGGCAGTGGGATTAGGGACAGAGGAGATAAAGATGACCGTGGCTTAGTTTTTTTAATCTCAGCATAATCGGAAAGTAATTTTTTTTTTAAGACTTCACAACCGTCACTTTCATCAGTGCTTTCTTCCCCCCAATAAATACATGAACAAGCATCCCCGTGTGAGTGCTTGTCCCTCACGCCCGTGTTCAGCAGTGTTGAAGGAGGGCTGGGATAACTCAGTTCTCCTTTATGGACATTCAGTTCTTTTATCTGGTCTTCTACATGTGCATCAAGATGGGTTAAAGATGCAAGAAACCTTCGGTGTCCCCAAGGCCGTTCTCCCAGCCCCACTACCCTGGACTTGGGGGTCTCTGCACGACTTGCCGTAGCAAAGGGAGCTGCTGGCCTGTCGTGGATGAGCGGTTGGGTCGCTTAAATGATCACTCAGAGGTTTTGCAAGAAAATATTTTACTGAAAATTTAGAAAACGTGATCTTACAAAGTTTGTTGGCAAGGTTCACTCTAGTACTTATCAAGTGAGTGGAATACAAAATCAAAGGAGATTTTGAGTGGAAAACGATTCATACAGAGTAAAGGAAAAGTGTAAGGGGTAAAGGAGACCCTCCCTTTGAGTCAGCAGGTTTGGAATGGACCCCCTTGCTTTCTAAACTCCTTCTCAGAGAATAGGCCAGGTGCAGCTGGCTCCAGAACCCGACTTAGGCCACAACTGTTTATGTCTAAGGAATATGTTTAACAGCAATTCAGGGTGTGTTCACAGTTGAAAGAGAGAATCACAGGGATTTAGCAGCTATTAATCACTGGTTAACTTAGCATTTACAGAGTGATTAGAAAGAATTTGCTATTACAATCACAGTAATAGAATATTATGTTTTGAATTGATTCACACACACACACAATCATAAAAATTCGTCTCGATTTGAGTGAAATACTCGCTTCAAATTGAATGATTTCCCGACGGGCAAAGGTTCAGTCTGGAGGAGATCAGCCCAGGTAATCCGCGAATTACTCTGAGTCCCACGCAGAGTGAGTTCCTGGACACAGCCGGCTGCGGACCAGAAGAGCTCAAAGGGCCTTCCTTGGTACCGCTGTTTCGTAGGGTCTCAAGATGATTGACTTTAGGCACCAGTAGTTTTCCATCCTGGTCACAATCCACAGGATGCAATCCTGATATTTAGACAGCAACCATACGATTCAAGCACTACCCAGAAGGTACAGTTCTGACATTGACCAGGCAGCTGTGGCTCAAGGCATCAGGAGTTGATGTATGTATGTAGACCATACAGCTAGGCAGGCGCAATCCAGGAGGTTCCTGCAGAGCATTGATGATAACTTTCTGATGCAAGTGGTGGAGGAACCAACAAGGAAAGGCGCGCTGCTGGACCTCGTGTTAACAAACAAGGAGGGACTGGTGGAGGACGTGAAGGTTGGAGGTAGACTCGGCTGCAGTGACCATGAAATGGTCGAGTTCAGGATCCTGCGTGGAGGAAGCAGGGCGATAAGCAGGATCAAAACCCTGGACCTCAGGAGGGCTGACTTTGCCCTCTTCAAGGAGCTACTGGGAGGAATCCCGTGGGCCAGGGCTCTCAAAGGCAGGGGGGTCCATGAGTGCTGGTCGCTCTTTAAACAACACTTCTTCCATGCACAGGAGCAATGCATCCCCCTGAGAAAGAAATTTAGCAAAGGAGGAAGGAGACCTGCATGGTTAAACAAGGAGCTTCTAGCGGAGATCAGGCAGAAGAGAAAGGTCCATGGAATGTGGAAAGAGGGACAGGCCACTTGGGAAGAGTACAGAAACGTAGTGAGAGCATGCAGGGATGCGACGAGGAAGGCCAAGGCTCACCTGGAATTGAAGCTGGCAAGGGATGTCAAAAACAACAAGAAGGGCTTCTTCAACTACATCAGCAGCAAAAGGAAGGCTAGGGACAACGTGGGGCCGCTGCTGAATGAGGCGGGTGTCCTGGTGACGGAGGATGCGGAGAAGGCAGAGCTAATGAATGCCTTCTTTGCTTCAGTCTTCAGTGCTAAGACTGGCCCTCAGGAATCCCAGGCCCCGGAGGTAAGAGAGGAAGCCTACAGAGAGGACGACTTTCCCTTGGTCGAGGAGGACTGTGTGAGGGATCGCTTAAGCGATCTGGATGTCCACAAATCCATGGGCCCCGATGGAATGCACCCACGAGTGCTGAGGGAGCTGGCGGATGTCATTGCTGAGCCACTCTCCATCATCTTTGAGAGGTCCTGGAGGACAGGAGAGGTGCCCGAGGACTGGAGAAAGGCCAATGTCACTCCAATCTTCAAAAAGGGCAAGAAGGAGGACCCAGGGAACTACAGGCCGGTCAGCCTCACCTCCATCCCGGGAAAGGTGATGGAGCAGCTTATCCTGGAGGCCATCATGAAGCAAGTGGAAGAAAAGAAGGTTATCAGGAGTAGTCAGCATGGATTCACCAAAGGGAAATCATGCCTGACCAATCTGATAGCTTTCTACGATGACATGACTGGCTGGGTAGACGAAGGGAGAGCTGTGGATGTTATCTACCTTGACTTCAGCAAGGCTTTCGACACAGTCTCCCATGATATCCTCCTGGGGAAGCTGAGGAAGTGTGGGCTGGATGAGTGGTCGGTGAAGTGGATAGAGAACTGGCTGAATGGCAGAACTCAGAGGGTTGTCATCAGCGGCGCTGAGTCTAGTTGGAGGCTGGTGACAAGTGGTGTCCCTCAGGGGTCAGTACTGGGCCCAGTCTTGTTTAACTTCTTCATCAACGACCTGGATGAAGAGTTAGAATGTACCCTCAGCAAGTTTGCTGACGACACCAAACTGGGAGGTGTGGTAGATACACCAGAAGGCTGTGCTGCCATTCAGCGTGACCTGGATAGGCTGGAAAGCTGGGCAGAGAGGAACCTGATGAGGTTCAACAAGGGCAAGTGCAGGGTCCTGCACCTGGGGAGGAACAACCTCATGCACCAGTACAGGCTTGGGGTGGACCTGCTGGAGAGCAGAGAGGGACCTGGGTGTCCTGGTGGACGACAGGTTAACTATGAGCCAGCAGTGTGCCCTGGCTGCCAAGAAGGCCAATGGGATCCTGGGGTGCATCAAGAAGAGTGTGGCCAGCAGGACAAGGGAGGTTCTCCTTCCCCTCTACACTGCCCTGGTGAGGCCTCATCTGGAGTACTGTGTCCAGTTCTGGGCTCCCCAGTTCAAGAAGGATGAAGAGCTACTGGAGAGAGTCCAGCGGAGGGCTACAAGGATGGTGAGGGGACTGGAGCATCTCCACTACGAGGAGAGGTTGAGGGAACTGGGCTTGTTCAGCCTGAAGAAGAGAAGGCTGCGAGGGGACCTTATAAATGCCTACAAATATCTGAAGGGTGGGTGTCAGGAGGATGGGGCCAAGCTCTTTTCAGTGGTGCCCAGTGACAGGACAAGGGGCAATGGGCACAAACTGAGGCACAGGAAGTTCCGTCTGAACATGAGGAGGAACTTCTTCCCTCTGAGGGTGACGGAGCACTGGAACAGGCTGCCCAGGGAGGTTGTGGAGTCTCCTTCTCTGGAGATATTCAAGACCCGCCTGGACAAGGTCCTGTGCAGCCTGCTGTAGGTGACCCTGTGATTCTGTGATTCTGTGAGTTCCAGGTGCAGTCAGGGGGTGCCTGATCGGCCCAACTCACTGCTCTTGTACAAAGACGAGGAAAGTGTCAAGTTGTCCTGATTCAGTGCATACCAGC